CAAACACATTAGCCGTTCCTGCATGTAAGCAAACATCTTAGCTGTTCATGCATGTACACATTTTAGTTCCTGCATGTAACATCTTAGCTGTTCCTCCATGAAAACATTTTAGCTGTTCCTTCATGTAAGCAAACAATTTAGCTGTTCCTGCATGTAAACAAACACTTTAGCTGTTCCTGCATGTAAACAATTTAGCTGTTCCTGCATGTAAACAAACACTTTGAATGGTTCTGCCGGGCCCAAAAGTCTTCCTGGATGGTCCAGGCGTCATGTTTTTTGTCCTCCTAACCTGTGGACTGGGAACTCTTGACACCTCATCCGTGTCCTACATGTCCTTTGTAGCGTGTCGACGTGTTTTTAGCGTGTTGACGTGTGCTCTATGTGTTTTCAGTGCGATCTCGGGGAGCACTGCGCCATCAGGAAAGGATCTCGCATTGGGAAGATGTGCGACTGTCCTCGAGGAGCTTTCTGCAACTTCTTCCTGCTGAAGTGCCTATGAGCCAATGCAGCGTCAGTTTGAAACTGTAAATTTGAAAAACACTTAGATTCTCTGTAGTTTGTAGAAATGATCCGTGGTCCTGAAATAAACATGCCTTTTCTTCAAAGATCAGTTCTGCAGTTTTACTGTGCAATAAAAGCAAAGTTTGGGTCTTTGAAAATGAAATGTATTATATTGGAGAATAAATTAGAAACAAACTCGTTTAACAATAAGAAATATCAAAGGCTTGAACAGATTAAAATTTAGCTGAATTAACCGTTGACCTTTAACATAAAATCAAACACTGAACCAGTCCTGCACAGCCGAGGCTTTTAGTCCCAAACGGTTTTTATTAAAGATAATTACAGACGGTTAAACTCCTCGGGGCTGCTTGAAGTTCATGCCAACAGTGGGCTGGGTCACCTGCAGGTTGGACAGACTGCCGAAGTCCTGCGGGACAAGAGACACAAACAGAGCGGTGTGAGACGGGTGCAGATGAGGACGTTTGTCGGGGACAGTGTCTGACAGCGTCAGGGTCTGAGAGGAACTGACAGTCCTTCAAACACGGGAAAGCTCTCAGGTTTCTCTTCCTGTAGTTTAATAAATGACCACGGCGACGAGGACGCCGGACCACCTTTCGATACAGGGGGGGGGGGCACAGGTATAAACCTCACAGTAGATCCAACCTTTATTCCTTCAAATAAAAACTGAACCAAGTGGTTTTACTTTCCTCAGTTTACCATAACGTGTTAAGAAAAAATTAAAACACGTTTTTACACCAGAAGTCGCTCTGGGTTATTTCTTCTGATGACTTCTTCAGACTTTATTATAAAATACTTTTAAAGACTCCTCAATTTAACTTTTTATTTCTAATCCAAAAGTTTCAGTTAGAACGGAAGAGGAACACAAGGATTTAATCACTGAAGTTGCTTCTGAGCAGCTGGTTCTTTTGAGTTAAAACAGACAAGTTTGAATTTGTCAACTCTTTAGTGTTCAGATATAATTTCAGAAGAGGTCAAGGGTCAACCCAGTTCCAGCTACAGTTACAAGTGTCACACATTAAAACCAAAGATGAGCGGTGACTACTGGATATGAGTAAGATAAAAATGTTTAAATGAAAGAGGCGATTACAACATCTCTTCTAAACCATCAGCTGTTGGTGACACTGAACACCTCCCTCGAAAAATAAAAACAACCAGCGGCCGCTGAGATTAGCCGTCGTTAAGAAGCTTTCTTCGCTTTTTAAACACTGTGGTTCTGATCCGAGTCGTGTTCGGTTCATTAACCTGCTGGAGTTAAAGAACGAGCTGAACACGCGACGCTGCCCGCTGGAGATCATCCGTTTGTTTTAAAGGTAAAACCTAAATGTTTTTTTTCCCCTCTTTCTTTCCGTTCGTTACAGAGAAATTATCTGTTCCCCTTGAACCTTCAATTGGATCTTGGCGGTTCTGACCCGCCGCAGCCAATCGCAGCTCTGGTCATGGCTGTAACCATGACAACCGTTAACGAACGTCTTCAGCTGCGGTCACAAACTTTAGTTCCGCCTCTAACGAGCCTTCAGACCGGCCCAGAACCAGAACTGAACTTCTGCGTCACGGGATTTATCGTGTGATAAAAGTTTTCAGATTTATCTTCATTAAACATCCGTTATTAAGTTAAACGGGTTTTTCGTCCTAAATGTTTCATTAATTACAGATTCAAATGAAAGTAGGTCAATTAGAGACGTGGAAACTCACCAGCAGCTTCAGCATCTCCTTCGTGTCGGGATCGACTTCTATCAGTTCCTGGTCCAGAGCGGACACCTGCACAGGTAAACAGGAACCAGAACATCAGTTTGAGCTCACCTGTGACCCGTCGGCAGAGACGGGAACCCAGCTGCTGCTCTGGATCTAAACACGTCCAGATTTAACCAAACGAAACCTCAAAATCTAACTTTAACTGTCTGAAGGTTCTGTCTGAGAGCACCAGGGTTCAGAAGGAACAGGAAGTCCACTAAACACGGGAAAAAGCTCTCAGGTTGATGTTCCTGCTTTTCAATGACCTGACGACCAACACGCCATGATCACTTTCGATACAGGAGGAGCAGACAGGAAGTGGAGCCAGCAGAGACATTTAAACTCGAAGATAAGAGCTCTGATGAATGGATGAGCTTCTGGTTGTAATCCTTCAGATTTAAAGTTATTCCATCCTTTGAAACACGACTGGACAAGAACAAAATGAGCAACAAAATAAAAAAGGACAGCTTTTGTCTCGTTTCTTAATAAATAAAAGACAACTTTATGTTTTACAGTATTAAAAGTCTAAAAACAAGCCGGCTGTTATTAAAACCAATCGAATATTCAAAGTATACATGATAAATTAAACACCAAAATAACTCATCACTGGGTCTGAAAGGAGTTTATAATCCCAGCAGCACAGACCACCATCATCGTTCACTGACCTCAGGAACGTAGTTGTCCCTCCTCTCCCTCTCCTCCTCCTGCAGCTTGATGGAGATTCCTCTGACTGGACCCCTCTGGATCCTCTTCATCAGATGCGTCACATACCTGCAGGACCAAAGACCCGGGTTCAACGCTGCCTGCTCAGATCGACCTCTCCGTGGTCAACTGAACCACACACACCTCGGTCACGCCGTGATGACTCACCCAGCGATCTTGTTGCGAAGCTTCTTGCTCGGGATGATGGCGATCTCCTCACACACCCGCTTGTTGGTGTGGAAGTCGTTTCCCAGCCGGGTGTAGTATTTCTCAATGATGACCCTGGCGGCCTTCTTGACCGTTTTGGTCCGGACTCGTCCCTGCAGACAAATTTAAAACCTTCTAAAGATCAGCCTGAACGTTGCTCAGGAAATCAAAGACCGCAAAGCCAATTCCATCTTAACGTCACAGAATAAAACGTGCTTCAAACAACAAGACAGCTGCAGATGTTCAAACTAAGCTGCTTTAGTAGAAATGAAGTTCGATCCATAAATTAGGAAAAGATGTTTTGACTCAAAAGTCACAATAATTCTGCAAATTTTAGTTTTTACTCAAAAGAGGTCGTCACTGAAACGTCATGTTATTATAAAATACTTGATTCTTGTTCAAAGTATTAGAATTAACATATTGAATTTTGGTACTTTTTATTTTTTTATTTTATTTGGACCTTAAAATAGCTTTGCAGATCTGATCCAACGGTTAGTATCATTGACGAAAACGTACAATACTTTAAATAAACCTACAAAACGTTTATTAAAGGTGTATTTTACACCTGCAGCTCGGAAACGCTCTGTCCGGTAACTCCCCGCCGCTGTTCGGTTACAGAGCCCGCAGCCTCCCGGTGAAACCCGGAGCTCCTGGAGGTTCTGCTCAGCGGTCATTTAAACACTTAAAACCGGTGTTGGAGCAGAAGTGAGCTCCGTGGTACTCTGCCATCTCCTCTGCCTGAACGGAGGATCAGAAACCGCGGCTCCTCCAGGCGAGTGGCGCTTCCAATAAATTGCAAATAATCCGGTCGGTTCGCGCCACCGAACGGCAATACAAGAAGAGCGAAATGAACGGAACCTTCCTGAGTGAGGGAACGAACGTTTCGTGGAGCTTCAAGCGTCAAAACGGGAGGATTAAATCAGATAAAACAGAATGTGATGAGAATTTCACCCACCATGTTGGATCGGCCTGGAAGAAGAGGCCGAGGACGCTTCCGGTGGAAGTTTAAACGCGCTGGCGGAAGTAGAAACAACTGCAGCGCCCCCTGGTGGCCACAGGCCGCAACTACAACAATTAAAAGGACATCTAGCTCTAGTTGTTCAAGTTATGTGCAATTTTAACACCATGTTAACAGTACAATGAAGTGCTCAGGAGGAGAAGAACCGATTTGACTCGCTAAAAACAAAGAACAAGCAAAATACTAAAGCATGCAATAAGGGTACAAAATAGAGTACCAAAAAGTGACAAAGTAATTATAATATTTAAAAGGTCCTAAGAGATAGTAAACAACATGGTAGAATTTTAACAGTGCAAGCAGGATGTATTTCTATGAATAAGTATTTCAAGGTAGTAATATAAGCTTAAATGCACATGATATATATTGCACATAAACATAAGCTACACAGGTTGTGACAATGAGATTGAATTATGATAAGGTAGATTATTTTCCTGACAGCAGCTGACAGCCAGATATACAAATAACATGCTTTTATGTGCCAATAAAATATTAAAAAATTATAAAATATTTATTATATTTTCCATGAACGTCTTTGGTACAGATTTACAGGTAGAATGATATGGAACTGTCCTCTTTGATTAAGTGTGCACAGCTATTTCATGAATTGTTTAGTTGGATTGAATTGTGAAATATGTTGGGATTGTAAAATAAACATTTGTGTCAGTGTTAGGATAACTTAATATTATTTTTTTCACTGATTAAATAAATAAGCCACACAGGAAGTAGTAGATATCTTCCATAACCCCAGGATTAATCTTGTAAGATGGAACAGAGTTGAAACACAAGCAGGCAAGATGTTTATATGTTGCTTCGTCTCCAAGTCTGCTCACAAAGAGAATAAAAAGTGTTTTTTTTTTAATAATGTTACCAGAGGCGCTGCCTACCTTCAGTTTATCAGGTGAAAGCTCCAAGCTTCTGCAACACTGTCCAAACAACTCACACACATTCATATACATTTGAAATTAATAAACATCTGTGACCTTTCACATCTTTCATCAGTCAGTTCATTTACTTTCAGCTCCTCTGTTTTCTTTGAGCTTCTCTCTACTACAAATACATATTTCCATAAATCACAGCAGGATGGACTCGAATGTGGACACTTTAATTCAGTTTCTAGCAGAAATGGTCACTTGGACACTGAAGTCTATCTTTAAAAGCAATCTGTTTTAAGAGAATTGCATCTAACAAATTAAACTATGAACTATTCAATTTAACTTTTTCTGCATGAAGTCTTTATAATCTGAGTGTGAAAACTTCTGAAGATTTGTGTCAATCTGTGATTTATTGAACGATGGATGACATTTATTATCGGATACGTTTAGCGTTCAGAAAATATTTCTATTCTCAGGCGGATCACAGACAGAGCAGCTACAAAATACAACACAGAAATCATCTAAAAATCATTTCACGTTTATTTCAAACAGAATCACATTTTCTACAAAAAATAAAATAATCTGTGATTAAAAAAAAAAAGAAGGTAAAAACAGACTTTTCCCTGAATAATCGATTAAACTTCTGATCTCAAACTTTCAGATTAAAAATAAAAACAATTTTCACAGAAATCAGATTTTTGTTTCAGCTTCTCTACATTCATGTTTTTATCTATTAAAGGGACATTCCAACATTTTATAAGAACACGGAGGACGTGTGGATCTGAGAAAACGTCTCCGGAGCCTCGACGTCTTGAAAGGACCACTTCGACTTATCAGCCTCAGAAACCGACATGAAGGATTTCACTTTCATCAACAAACGCCATGTTTGTCAAATTTAACCCGACTCAGTCCTCCTGTACACTTTAAGGCAAACATTTATCTTTAGAGCACATTTAAAAACAACTAAAGTTGACGAAAATGATTTTCAGTTAAATCAAAAAACAGAATAAAAAAAAAAATCAATTAAAAAAGGTTCAATAAAATAAAAATAATATAGAACAAAATCTGATCTGTTGTGAACTTTATCAATGTCTAAATGTTTAAAGATCACCAGCTGCTGCTCAAAGCCCCGTGTCTGTTAGCAAAATACCTTGTGAACCACTGGATGAATTTTAATGAATTTTTAAGGAAATAATTATAAAGACAAATTTTTAAAATTTATTAACTTTGGAGTCAACCCAATTTAAGATGGCCGCCACAGCTAATCAACATTAGTGATACATGAAATAGCTGTAACTCAGTTAGCTTTACAGAGATTGAGATAAAAATCTGGAGTGGTAGTAGCTGAGCGTCATCCCCGGGATGAAACACGGGAGATCAGCCTGAAACTCTGTCATGAAGGGCGGCGGGCAACATGCATTCCTTCAAGGACTGCGGGGCCTTTTTTGATTTAAAGCACCAAATTATTTTAAACTGCAACGAGCAAATAATCCACATTGTTTACATTCACTGCACCGAGGTGATGAAGTGCACATCAATCTGTTTCATAAAGAAAGTTTAATTCAAGTCTGAATTATGCACATTTACATTTTAAGATGATTTTAAATAAAAACTAATTAAAAACAAGTGAAACTTGCATATCGTGAGTTTAATGAGACGCCGTCATGGCAACGGGAGCGGCACCAGCACGTCCACGTAGTTGACAGGAAGGAGGCCCGACCGGCCGCCCAGCGAGCCCTCGTACCAGTTGCAGTCGACCCGGCCGGTGAGGATGATGATGTCGCCCTCGCTGAACCGCAGCTCGCTGGCGTGGTTCGGTTGGAAGGAGTACACGGCACGGCAGCAGGGCTTGTCCAGGACCAGCCCGTCCAGGAACGGCTTCCTGTCGACTGGGGGGCGGGGCAAAGACAAAATGAAATCTGACGTTGTATTAACGACGTTAAATCTTTCATCTCAAGCTTCCTGTAGATAACCTTAAAGGAGCAGCTGCTCCTGCTCGCCTTCATCTCTGTGTATTTAAGTGAAAAACACAAATTTTATTCTTTTATTTTGTAGCAAAAACCCTGGAAGGATTGTCTTTGTCTTGAGGACGTGTTGTGGGACTTGGACCAATCAGCGAGCTTCTAAACAAAAACAACGTTTGTCTCTGATTTGGATCGTTTCAGATTGTTGGAACCATCGAGGTGGAAACGTAAGGTCCGATTCCTGGAGTTCATCTCCAGGAGTTTCAGAAGCTTTTCCAGGTTTAACTTTTTAGACAGACTGAATTTTAATCTGCAACATTGCTTTTCTGGTTTGAATCTAACTCTAACCTCCAGATCTGAGCCGTGTTGGACTCGTGTTCAGAACATTTGTCTGACGTTTGAGTTGAATCAGGCAGAAACTTTGGAACCCGTTAACAGGAAGTTAGTCTTTATCTAAAAGTGTCAAAATAAAAGCCCTGACAAAATTAGCCCATGTGTGTGTATTCTCACCGGGGACAGGTCTGTCGGGGCTGCTGGGTTCTGACGGTACCACCGAGATCTGTTCCCCTGCTGTAAAAAAACAAAACCAGGATGACACAAACAAATCAGACAAAACATAAGGACCACCTGCCTTCATCTGAACAGTTCGGACCCGTGTCTTCATGAACTCCTAAGGTTTTAAAGACAGAAAGTTTACTTCCTGCGCGATAGACTCCACCTCCTGACAGGTAACTATGGTAACACGGTGGTCATAACGTTTTGGCTGATTGGTGTTAGAAGGAGACCTGCAGGAAGTGAAGCTGCGCCTGATGGCTGCTGGTAGAACCCCACAGTGCTGTCCAGGACGCCGCGAAGCCTGATCCGTTTGGATCGGAACCGCCTCTCCGGTTTGTTACTGGCAGCAGTCAACCTGCCGTGGAACAAATAAACAACAGGTAAACAACAAATAAACAAGGAACGTTAAAAGTTAAAGTAAAGATTTTAAAAGTTAAACAAACTGACCCATAAATGTTTACGGTTTGGATCAGAGAAAATTTTAAATAATTTGGATTCAGCCATTTTATTCAAATGTTTATATTGTTTTTTTCTGATGATCTTTATCTATGGTAATTTTTATTTTATTTTTAGTTTGTTTTGTTTTTATTTCACTTTTATCTATGGCATTTTTTAAGTAGTATTTTAATTTTTATGTTGTGTTAATTTTCTGTTTAAAAAAACAATAATTTCTGTGTATTTTTTTCTAGGGTTGCACTTTTTGTATTTTATCATTTACTTGTCTGTTTTTATTTGAACTTTTTTTTTTTTTCCAATTGTTCAGATTTCTAAAGCGATACTTTTTAATTTGTTTGTTTATTTATTTATTTGTGTTAATTTTATCATTATTCTTAATGATCTGAGGCAGATAAAGTAAATACATGTTTTTATTACCGTTTTTAAAACCTGAATTAAAAATCTTGAAAAGAATTAAAATATTTCTAAACTGTCAGATTATCATTTTCAATTTTATTTTAATTTGATAACAAACGAAACTAAATGTTTGTTTACGACGTTTTGTTTTAAAGTATTTCTTACATCAACGAAAACACCATTGTGTCTTTTCTACGGGTCACAGCAATGAATTATGGGTAATGAAATCCCAATGACCCTCCTGGGAGGAGGAGGAGGAGGAAGAGGAGGTGGAAGAAGAAGAGGACGATCTAAAACATCAGCAGAAAACACCTGAAAATAACGACTTTCTGGTTCTCAAACTCACCTGGCCTGCAGGTTGCCATGGAGACCCAGCAGGATGTGCTGAGCCTCACGGTGAAAGTCGAGCAGCGCCGCCACCAGAGCCGCCAGCTGAGCGACCCGGTCCACCTGCAGGGAGGGCAGCAGAGCGGTTCTGCAGCTGGATCATCATGTCGTCTGTGCTGGATTAAGGTCCAAACTCACGTCGTTCTGCAGCAGGACGAACATGCTCCTCTCAGCCAGCTCCTTGGACGAGACCAACTTGTCCCATGTCTGCCTCACGTCCTCCGCTGCCACCTTCCCTCTTCGTCTCCGCTTGTAGTCAAAGTCCAACCGACGGCCATGAACCTTCTTCAGCTGGAACTGAGGACAGAACCGGACAGAACCAGACGGAACCGGGCATGATACTGACCTAAACTCAGCGTGAAACATGAAGGAGGAGGAGGAGTAGAGGAAGAAGACAGGTGGAGGGAAAAACTAAAAGAAAGGAGGAGGAAAAGGAAAACTAGAAGAAGAAAAGAGGAGGAAGAGGAGGAAAAGAAGGAGAAGAAAAATGGAGGAGGAGGAGATGAAGAAAAGAGAAGAAAAACTAGATGGAGGAGAAGAAAAGGAAATTAGAAGGAGGAGGAGAAGAAGAAGAAAGGAGGAGGAGGAGCAGCTCAGTCAAAGCGGAGTCAGGGAGTTCAGAGCGGAGCGAGGAGGAGCCTCACCTTGATCTCCTTCAGCTCAGAGTGTTGCAGCTCCTGAAGCGGGTCAATGAAGGTCCGTTTGACGGAGACGTCCAGACCGTGCCGAGCCTCGCCGACCTGCTGCAGAGCTCCGCCCACAGCGGTCAGAGCGTTACCTGAGAGGAAGTTGAGAGAAACGATATCAACAACAGGTCCTCCTCGGTGCCAGTCGTCCTCCTCAGTCGGACTTCTTTACCGAACTCCGACGCTGCTCCGAGCTCCTGGCCGTACGACGACATGCAGTCTCCCAGAATGCTCTCTGTCTGCGGGTACGCCGCCGTCCTCGCCTGTCCCCGGATCCTGGACACGGTGCTGAGCACGCTCAGTTTAGCTCTGTGGGCTGCAGAGACACCAAGACGATCAGCCAACACTCAGAACACGAGACGGGACAAGAGGCCCGCTGATCCTGTGGTTCTTCACTTCTGTTCTTCAGGCTGTACATTTTGTTATTAAACACAAACAAACAAACAAACAAACAAGCAAGCTGTGACTTTAGGTTTTCCATCGACTCGCTTCATGAAAGACGAGACATTTTGTCTCTTTGTCCTCATCTCTGTTGGGGACAGGTCAGGACTGCAGGCGGACCAGTCCAGAACCAGTCCCCTTTTGTGTCGCGTTTCTGTGTAAACGCCTGATCCGATACGTGCAGGATCTGTTCTTCTAGAACTTTATGGATCGGTTCAGGTCTCTGTTGGACCGTGGGTCTGGAAGCGGTTCTGGTCACAGCAGTACCTGGGTTGGGCTGGAGGAGATCTGTGGTTCTGGACAGCAGCTCGGCCAGCAGGGCTTTGATCACCGCCACCCTCTGAAAGGAAGAGGCAGGTTTCAATTCCGGTGCTGTGAAGAACCTCATGGGTTCTGTCAGAACCTTTACCTTCTCCATGTTCAGGAAGTCTTCATCCAGCCGGGTTCCTTCAGCTCCCATGAGCCTCTCGCTCAGCAGCTGCAGAACACACCGGTTCTGTTACTGAACAGAACACCTGAACAGAACACTGGTTCTGTTACTGAACAGAACACTTATTTTTATTAATTTACTAAATAAAAAGAGGAAATCAGGAGCAGGAGGTTCTGAAACATCCGGTTTATAAAATATAAATATAATCTTTAAACGCTGATCACATCGTTCGGTTCGGAGCAGTCCCTCCTTATGTCGCAGTAGATTCTCAGAAGACCGGACTGTGACCCAGATATTAGTCATGTCCCTTGAACTCGTCCTCAGACAGAGCACCTGCCGGTTCGGCCCGGTTCTGTTGGCTCACCTGGCTGGCTTTGTGGAGCTGCTTTTTCATCCCGGAGACAGACATCTTCAGAACCGGTTCTGACGGCCCACGGCCCGGTTAGATACTCCGTCCAAGTAGCCTGCAGGGTGTCAGACCGGAAGTATGACCGGAAACAATAACCGGAAACAGCTGCGTTTAATAAAATGTCAGCTTTATTGATGAAATCATCCTTCAGTTAAAGAGTTCCGACCTTTAGCGCAATCTGTTCCTATTCAGGTTTCATTTTGATGTTTTTAACTCATTAAACCAGCGGAATGAATTAAACTTGCTTTAAAAATGTTTTTTTTTATTAGTGTCAATCTTTATTTAGCCGTTTAAATCAAAATGTAATTTTTTCATTTCTCTTGTAAATGAGTCCTCGAGGCTCAATGGGATTTACCTGTATAAATAAAGGTTGATTGATTCATTAAGTGTCATAATCTTGATATTCACGCCTCAGTTTTAAACAAAACATTTTCCTAAGTGTAACATTGTTTTAATTATTTTGAACTCCAAAAACAAACTTCAAAGCTGAAAAATAACTTTTAGTGTTTTTACTGGTCAAATTATTTTAAACGCATGTTTGTGGAATTTAATTCAATTAAAAAGTTATTTAAAAATATTTAGAAAGGAAGTTTCATATTCTAATATATGTTAAATAAATATAAAAGTAAGTTACCAAGTTCAAAACACAAACTCATGTTGTTAAAATAAACCTTTACAACTGTAGATCCTGATTCATGCTCAATAATCCAGGTAGAAAAATCCAACAAAGTTAAGTCAGGATCTGGACAGTTTCTTTGAGTTGAAACGTTTCGTCTTTCATTCAGAATACTTCAGTGTTTTAGAAGAACCGAGTCTGCTTTAGATTAAATCATTCTTAAACCAGAATTTTTATTAGATATTTATTTTTTCTTAAAGTTTTTCTTCTCATCTTGTTTTTTTTTTTGCTTTAAGAAATGTGGTGTTTATCTGTTCACCTGGTTATATTTAATTATTATTTTGTGACTAATTATAACGTGTTTTCATTTGTTATTTTTGTCTGATTTATTTATTTGTCTAAATTAATATTCTATTTTTATTTAATTAATAAACATAAAAGCAAGCAAAAACACGGGTATAGTTCACCGTTTATTTGTTCTGTATATGATTTAGTTTGAAAATTAATCGATTTTTTTGTTGTTGCTTCAAATCTGTTATTTCCTCTTCTTTTCAACTTGTAAACATGAAGTTTGTACTACAGCTCCCGTCAGGCTTAGCGTCAAACGTCACGTGACTTGACCCGTCACGTGCCAACATGGCTGCTGGTGTTTCCGAAGAAGATTTCTCCAACCTGCAGCTTCTTCTAAAGGTTATACATCGTTTTTTTTAAAGCCCGCAGATTTAAAAATTATATTTAATGTTTTATTAGAAACTTATCGATAAAGTAAAAACAATAAAATGTAAATAAAACTTATTTGTTTGAATCAGCCTTTTTCGATCGGTTTGTTTAAGCTCATTTTTGTGAAACTGGATTTTAGTGTGTCTGGAGCTGATAACAATGACATCTGTAAAACATAATCAGTGTATTTTTACTAAATTTTTTGTTTTTATACATTTTAATATCATTCGCATTTTCATTTGAGAATTTAATCTGAGTCTGAGGAGAAAACTCTTGTTTTAATTTAATATTTTATGAGATTCTTCAGGGAAAGTTTTTGACTAACATTTTCAGGATGCTTACTGGCTGACAGACAGCTGTGATGACATCTTGTTGTTGTTTGTTTGTTTGTTGACTTTGGCTTGTTTTTTGTGTCTGTAGGCTCCGTCTAAAGATGCAGTGAGAGACGTTTGTGTTCAGAGTCACAAAGACGGTTCGAATCATCGTCTGATTGAAAACACCGCAGCTACATTCAGCATCTCTGCAGCTGAGGCAACTCGGGTAACTCTCACACCTATTCAAATCTGTCCTATACCTATCAAAACATGTCCCACACCTGTTTAAACATGTCCCACACCTGTCCAGAGCGGTCCCACACCTGCCATAACCTTTCTTACATCTGTCCAAACATGTCTTATACCAATTCAAACCTGTCCTGTACTTGCACAAACCTACTATTCCACACCTCTCCCATACCTGTCCAAAACTGTCCCTTACCTGTCCAAACTACAAATGTTTTGTTTATAGATATGTTTTAATTTAATAATTCAATGTATTACTAAGTGAAGTAAAATAAATGAAAGTTTGTTTTCATACAGTAGCACCTTTCAAAAATAAAATTCCTAAAGTTCTTCACAATAAAATACAGTAAAGCCAGTCCAAAGACATCCACGACTGTGAGGGTTTATAAAAAGGACCAGACTGGACCCACAACAGAACTCTGTGGGACCCCACATGACCGGTCTGTGGTATCTGACAGCTTCTGAGTCACAAGATTATATTTCTTACTTTGTGCTTTTAAGAAGCTGCAATCACTACAGGAGGAGGGTTGTACAACACGATTAAATGCACGGGTTAATAGAATACTTAAATCGAATATAGACCAGAACCTGACCCTGTTCTGTGTTTCTGTCCCTCAGCTGATCCAGTCCCTTCACGTTCTGTCACATCACGTCCTGTACCAGAACCTGACGTCCCCTGAGCAGATCCTGGCCGTCTTCCCAGAGTCCTTCCACTCCAGTCTGAAGAACCTAATCACCAAGATCCTGCTGAAGAACGGGTCAGTGCTTACAGAAACTGGTCCAAAGACATGAAAACCTGTCAGTTTTAAACTGTTTGTCTTAAATTTGATCTGAACTCTGGAAGATAATTTGTTTTTATAAAAACCCAAACAATCTGCAGGTCCTTTCAGAACTAAAAGAACTAAAATGGTCGATGGAGGATCAGTTCTGTTGTACTTACCTTTATAAACTTGTTGGGACTCAGATGTTTGATGTCAAAGATCATATATATATATATATATATATATATATATATATATATATTTTTAAATGTTCAAAATCTGAATAGTTTAAAATCTGCTCAATTATTCAGCTCATTACCTTTTCTTTTCTTTTTTTAACTTTTTGTCATTTTTTTCACCTCATCAAGTATTAAAATGATTGGTTGATGCGGTGTGACGTAACTACAGGCTGTGGTAACATTGTCCTGTGTCTTTTGCTGTTTTTCAGTCCAACATGGAGGACAGAGGCTCTCAGTAATCAAAGTGAGTCGATCTTTTTCTATTTTTTTCTTTGTCTTCTTCTGTGAGACCCACTGTGAACATCTGGGGCCTCGTGTATGAAAGAGTGGGCATCATGGGGGACAACTGTAGGTTTCAGGTTCTGATCCTGTGGTTATGGACCAGAGGACTCACGTTTGCCTGTTTTTGTTTGCGTGTGCAGTCTCCCTCCCTCAGCTGAAGGACCTGGACTGGAGAGTTGACCTGGTGTCCGGCTCAGACTCACTCAGTCGTATGGCGGTGCCGACCTGCTTGGTTCAACTGAAGGTGAGAACCAGGAGCCTCGAGTGGATTTTCTTACGAAACATGACTTCAATGAATCCAGTTCTTTTGCGCATCATAGTCAACGTAGAACTGAGCAAAGAGGAGACTCCTCCTCTGAAATTTTTCCAAACATGTCCTGCACGTTGGATTCTTCCACTCTGCACCATCAGAAATCATGTGGAGAAAAGAGGAATTTTATGGAACATGAGTTAGGGACACTTCTGATTTACGTAGTTGGGTGTAGAAACCTTGTGTTGTTTGGACGTGAGAGGAGAGACCGAGTGAAGCTGCTGTTACTCAGCAGCTCACACCTGCAGGAGTTACGCCAACATTTAATTTTCTCATCAACGCATAAATGTGAGGCTCAAGATGACAGCAGAATTTATTTATTTTTGACTGACAATCCCCAGATTTTAAGCTTTGAGCTAATCATATTTAATACAAAAACTCATTTTATATTTGCTGTCTTTCAGATTTGATTGTGAAAATGTTTCAGTCTGGAAGTAACTAACCTCACTGAGTTCTTAGAGAATTCCTGGTTACTTTTAGATTATTGTTTGTTATGAGACATGAAAAACAATGAACATATGATTATTATGTTGACTGGAGTCTCTTACACGTGACATGTTTTCAGCTGGAGGATCCGTGTCCACCAGCAGGAGAGGACACTGTTTCTACAGTGACGGTGGAGCTGAGCAGAGAGTCTCTGGACACGATGCTGGACGGACTGGGACGGATCAGAGACCAACTGTCTGTGGTGGCTGGGAAGTGAGACGGGTCTGTCTGCAGACTTCAACAAACAGATTGTTCTGATCTTTGACAACAAAAAAACATTAAAAACAGTGAAAAGAACCATAACCTGCAGCTGTTTTTGTATTTTTACTGTAATTTTTTTTTCATTTGGCTGCAGTGCATCATGAAAAAGTTTCTGGTAACCTATTAAAAACATATATTGTAATTATTTTGACATTTTGTTTGTAGACAACGTCCAGTCTTGTCGTTGCACCTGATTTCCATGTATTTGTAAACGTATTTTGTTTTAATTTTTATTAAATAAAAATGATGTTCCTAATCTCTGAACAAAATCACATTGGTCTGTTTTAATTATTTCCATTTTATTTTATTTGTATACGTTAGTATTTTAAGGTGACAAACTTACTTCAGCGTCCCTCTTCAGATACTTAAATTATTAAAGTCGTGTAATTATTTAATTAGTAATGCATTGTTTATCTGACCTAAAAGTTATTTAACTATACTATGTTCTAATATTTTAATTTAACCATATTCTGTCTACTCCAACCATACACATTATTCTAACTATACTACTATATATTTGAATCTTTTTTTATGACTGAAGTTTGGATGTGAAGAAATAATAATTTAGCGATTTTTGATGCAGATTGAATGAAAGATGCTGCCATGATTGCTTCAACAATCATGTTTTAAGAGAATTATGTTCTCTAATAAAAGTCTAGACGTATTGATTGTTTTCGTCTGGATCTGGATTAGAGTGACATACGTGTTTTAAAAAAAAAAAAAAGTTAAATTATTTTTTCTACAGTTGTACAAATTTGTCTCACAGTTCCGAGATAACTATGAATTTCAATAATCTGTATAATACAGTCGGTTTGACCGCTTTGTGACTTCTCCATCAGGCGCGCCGTTGTTCAGTCGGGTCAGCATACAACGGGATACCTACTTGCATACAACACCTGTGATGTGAACTTCCACGCCTCGCCTGTTAGCAGGGAGACAGAATCTGGCTCAGCACCTGCTGTGGCGGGAAGTCGGCGTCATTTGAGTTTAACTTCTTTTTTTTTTCCTTTTTCTCCTCAGTCTTTTAATTTAAACGAGAAGCCCAGAAACAAGTTTGTTAACTTTCGATTTTATAGTTTTGAGTTGTTTCGATATTTCAGCTTTGGTTTTAAAATATTTTGATGCATATTATGATTTTGCGTCAGAGGCTAATGTTAGCATCAACTCTGTTTTCTCTTCTTTTTTTTTTTTTTAACAGATAAAAACAGGTGTGGAAAATGGCGACAGGTAGAAAACAGATGAAGAGAAAACACCTGGAGGAGAAAACGGATAAAAAGGTTTTTGAATTTACTCAAGAAGATGAGAAGAAAGAGCTGAGTGGGTCAGAGGATGAGGTCAGAGAAGGTATGTTAGCTTTTAGCTAACTGCAGGCTAAAGATGGTTACTGAACGAAGAAATAACATTTTCACTTTATTTTTCCTTTTTTGTTTTCTTTTTAAAATGTTCCCCAATTTTAATTAAAATTTTAATACATTTTTGATTGCATCTTAGATAAAAAAAAAAACATTTTTTAACAATGATTGAGCCAAACAAAAGTTAATCTAATTTTATCTATTAATGTTGCTATTTTAATTATTATTATTTGTGATATGAAATCGCACTCGTTTAATTAGCTCAAAGTCAATAGTGAAGAAAATATCTATTCTGCTTTAAATTAATCTATTTATTTTTCAAACATCAGCATTATATGTGTCTGCTTTTGTTTGTATTTTCAACATGAACTTTAAATGTTATTGTCTGAAGATGAAACTCCAATTGTGGACAAGCTGGCAAAGAAGAGACCTGCAGCCGAGTTCGAGGAGGAGGGGGTCACCTGTGCAGTCGGGTTTGCTCTCTTTTATTCATTCATGAGAAAACTTCACAATTACATGTTTCACCTTTTGAAAGGTTGTGCACAAAGCTTTGAGTAAAACAATCAAAATAAAATAAAAGTAGGAACGCAATCATAATTTGGGCTTAATTGAAACCAACTTTTCTGATTTCACTCAATCAGAAACGAGGTTCACTCCATGTTGGAAAAATTTGGGGGTAAGTTTTTATTTTACTCAATACGTTTTTTTTTTTTACTTTTGTCAAATATCTAAAATAAATTAATGTTTTTCGACAGTGCTCTCATTGTTAAAATACATTGTGTATGTTTAAATAAGACAGGTGACTTATTTATTATATCTTGTTATAAATTAGGTTTATTATTACTTTATAATAAATTTCTGATCAATTTGCCCTAAGACTTGTTGATGTTTCCATGATTTGGTAAAGGATGGAATAAATTTATTTTTGGTGGCAGAACTTTGTCTCCTGTCAGGACTAAATTCAACGTGTCGCCTTAAAATATAAAAGTTGGTTATAATATTTTCCAGGTCTGGAAAAAAGAAGAAAACAGTACTTTGGAAAGGCGTTATTGTTTCCAGATTATTTACCCTGTTTCTAAAAGATTAAATTCATATTTTCTAAATAAATGTTCAAAGTAGCAAAGGGTTTTTCTCATTAGCTGTATATAAAATATAAACATCATGATGTCCACTTTGGGTCATAGGAACCCTGAACACAGTTTCAAACCAACTCTCTTTATGCAGCTCTGCTTCTCTGTGCTTCTTATTGTTTGTTTGTTTGTTTGTCGTGCTGTTGCAGCTGATATCAACAAGGTGATGCAGGCCAAGAAGAAGCGCCTGGAGTCTCTGACAAAAAACTATATGAAGGGAAGTCAGCAGAAACTGGAGCAACTGTGGAACAACTATCAGGGACAAAGGTGCTTCTCCTCAAACTTCAGGAAAACTATTTATGAGCCACGCTCATGTTTTACTGTGATGATAAGCAAGTTTATTGACTAACATGGAGACATAACTGAAAATATAATACAAAAGTTAGAAAAGTCTACAGTTTGAAGTAAATAGTTGTTTCGACCTTGTTTTAACGTCAAAACTCTTCAGACAAGCATTCTTGCAAGTTGCTTGTAATAAAAATAATTAATTAGGAGAAAATCATTATTTTCAGTAATAAATCTTTGGAATTCTTGAAAAACATTTAGATATTTCTGTCTTATTTGTGTTTTAGACAAGATGATATCATACATCTGTTGGCATTCATCAAACTGAGTATACTTGCTATTTTTCCTCAATTCAGATAAAGAAACAAATTGTGTCTCTGTGACACAAAGTGCCAAAAGATCCAAGTGAGTCTTTGTTAAAGTCAGTGTCTCACTGAGATCTGACTGTTGGAAAACTACTGACTGGTCAGGAATTCTCTAAAAATCTTAAAGTGTTTGCGTAGTTCTCAGTTCCTTCATGCGAGTCACGAAGGTTTACAGCCTGGACACTTTAATTTTCATCATCTTAAAAGTTCAAACTTCCTCTTGTCACAGAGTTGCTGCGGGTATCTCCAGCCCATCTCAAGTGTGTTTCTGTATATTCCATGGTTTTTATTTTTTTCTGACAGGAGGCCTCATCTGACAGAAAACAACAGAGGCTACATACAACCCAATGTCCAGGTCTAAAAAAACACATTGATGACAAATATTACTTAGTAAGAACTGGTCCAGATCTGTCCATCTTCATTTCTACTCCAGCAGATTAAATCTGAACCTTGGGGGTGGCCCACGTGGGTACAAAGCAGGTCAATCTTGGCAGAGGCAACAAAATAATACACAAGACCTAGACTGCAGTTTTCCAAGCCTTGCACAAAACAGGTCATTTTCAAAAGTGGCTGCTAAATCTCATTTATTGAGATTGCAACTGAAAGTTTGTGTATTTTCTCACATTTGTGAGTCTCCAACAGTCAGCCTGTCTGTTCTGCATCCCGTGGGTCATCCTCTGTGGAGACTTTCTGTCTGGATGAAATATTCAAAACACTCCTGTGAAAATGTTCAGGAACATGGATTGAATCTGAAAGAAAAGCTTCAGAAACGTCAGATTTTGTAAACAGTTGTTGATTGACAGAGTAAGACTTCCATCCATCCATCCATCCATTATCTTTACCCGTTTATTCCATTTTGGGTCACGGGGGTTGCTGGTGCCCATGTCCAGCAATCACTGTGCGAGGGGCGGGGTACACTCTGGACAGGTCTCTAATCCATCACAGGGCCACATACAGTAGAAACAAACAAGACAAGCAACCATTCACTCCCTCACTCACACCTAGAGATAATTTTGTTTTACCAGAGTAAGACTTGTGAAGTGTAACAGAAATGTGTTTTGTTCATTTGTGCAGGAAGAAGATGACTCAGCAGTACTCTCAGCAGGTGTCCTCTGCCCTGCAGCAGTGGGAGACTGAAGCCCAGAGAGCCGAGGAGCAGGAGGAGAAGCTCAACGTCAGTTTATTCCTCCGTTGTTTGGTTTGAATGTTTCTGCTGCACAGAACTGCTCGGCTCATTTCTCCTATTTAATTTGGCGCACATAAGACTAGTGTTTGGAAACCAGGGTAGTACTGTGTCCAACTTTTAAAAATCACAGCCTGTAAAACTATTCTAGAGACTGTTCACGTTTTGTTGTCCACATTGACCCAGTTTTTACACATGTAGGCAGCCATGCCTACAATTATGATTTAATCTGCTGAAGTACACTTTAGAAAGAAGAGACGCAAACTTGGACGAGTTTTTAATAATTATTTATCATCAGCGTTTTTTTTTAAGACTTGGACATTCATGGTTGCAGCCTGCAGGAGTCACTCTGCAACCATAGAATTACAGGAACTAAACTGTGACAGGTTGGACGCACCTGGGACCACCCATCCCTCGTCTTTACCCACTTCTTCCATTGATGGTTCTAGGAGTCGATGGGACTCGTCCATCAGTCACTGTGTGAGAGGCAGGGGAGACCCTGGGTCTCCAGTCCATCACAGGGACACGGAGACAAACGAACATTCACACTCTCACCTAGGGACAGTTTGAAGTTACCAATCAGCTTAATATGCATGATATTATGATATTGATCTGTGGGAGGAAGTCTGGAGGAAAACTACGAAGGCACGGAGAGAACATGCAAACTCCACACAAACGTCCCCAGCTGGGATTCGATTTGGCAAATTTCTCTGAGAGGCAGCAGCTCTACCGACTGCGTCACCGTGCTGCCACTCTGCGACTATTCCGAGAGAACATTTGTCACAAATTTTCCAGACGTTAAAATTTAAGCAACTAGACTAGCCTTACAGACTTTTAGAGACTCCCTCTGGTCAGTTTGTCTCCAACAGTCACGACCCAGTGACCCACTGAGGAATGGATCCAACAAACTAACCAGGTTGAGTCAGGTCCTCTGGACGGGTTCTTTTTTTGTAGAAACGTTTCATCTTTTATCCAAAAGACTTCTTTAGTCTGCTGAGCTGCAAACAAACTCATGTCGCTTTGCCAAAGGTGTGTGCAGCTCCACTTGACTCTCCTTTCTTCAGTTCTTCTCAGGTGGAGGTGATTTCACTAAGATGAAGGTTGACCTGTTTCCCTGCTCTGGGCAGGATCAGCACTGCAAAGTGGGCTGGATTGTAATTGGTCAGTTGTGTTCAAGCCACTCCGCCCGATGTGGTCTTTAATCATCCATGCGTAGCCATGCGGCCATCATCTCCAATTTCTCTATAAATGCATTAATTTCCTGTGGCACCATCCGTCAATACGTTAAGAAGGTGGAGGTTCATATGTAGTTTACAGTTTTGCAGGTTGGGTCATCCAGTGACGTAATGTAGCTCTGCTGGCCAGTCAGCGTTTGCTGTCTGCTCGAGTCAAAATTGACTAGTGCCGAGTTGTGTGGAACCGATGAGAGTTGAGATTATGGCAAAGCGCCAGAAGTGGATCAACCAGTTTGCTGGTGACATCCAGAACTAGCTGTTCACACGGTAAAGGAGAACAATCAGCCCAGTTGATCATTAGTGCCTGGGCTAGGTGATGCTACCAAACAACAGCATTGTAAGATGTGGACAGTTGATCACGGAGGCCTCCGCCCTGTTTAACGACGGATGGGTTCTCTTTACAAAGATGGCTTCCTCCACTCTTCTCAAACCAACGTTCTCTATCAAGGAAGTGAACATCTTCATCACTGAAGGAGTGACAGCTGGCCTGCAGATGAGTGTAGACCGCAGAGTCCTGGCCTGATGATGCTGCTCTTCTGTGCTGGCCCATCCTTTTGGCCAGTGGCTGTTTTGCTCAATAATCCAGGTAGATCCTGGATTATTGAGCATGCATCAGGAGGAGATGCAACAAACTGTTGCTTTGTGGATGTTTTCAGACACACAAACCTTCTCAGTGACAGTTTTTTCACTTCCTGTTGGCAGAATTTGTTCCGGCAGCAGCTGAAGGTCCTGCAGCAGGCCAGAGTGGTCCAAAACCAGAAGCTGAAAGCCGTCAGAGAGATGTACGAGCAGTTTGTAAAGGTGGGGCAGAAAAACGGACGCCGCTCTCCTTTTTTATGTGTTCCTCTTTTAAAATGAGGAATATTCTTTATAGTAATTGCAGTGAGACAGTTTCAGTAAACAAAAACCTGTCAAATTACAACAAAAGCTCAAAAGTTTCAAATCAAATGACAGAAAAAGGAAAGTTTAGTTGTGTGTGTGACAGAACCTGCATTTCTTTATTAAATGTGTGAGTTTATCCAGACAGGTGGAAACAGAACAAACTGTTCTGCGTTTTGAATGGAAACTGTTTGTATTTCATTTGAAGCTGCCGGCTAAAGGTTTGAAAGTGAAACAAGTGATTAATTTTGTGGTGTTTCTCCAGAACATGGAGGACATGGAGAAGAACCACGAGATGTTCCTGCAGGGGGCGCAGCAGGAGCTGAGGAAGGAGATGGCTGCCCTGCAGAAGAAGATCCTGATGGACACGGTGAGTCCAGTCTGAGTGGTTCAACACAAACGTGTGGCGCTTTCAGCTCAGGACCACAGGTAATGTTGTTGATGTCTGTTTCCATAGCAACAGCAGGAGATGGCCACAGTTCGTAAGTCGCTCCAGTCCATGCTTTTCTAACCTGATGTCGCCGTGGCAACTGTTCCAGATGTTCCTGCTGGTGTTCTTTGTCCCAGAAACATTTTAAAAAGTCTTGTCCATCTTCTCCTGTTTTTATTTTAATATTTTAATAAAAACTTATTGATCCTGTTGTGAATTTTGTGGGTTTAATGCAGTTTGTGCTGTTTTCCACAACCACGTTTGTACACGTGCTTTGTTCTTTTGTTCTTTAATTGGTGACCAGCTGTAGCAGTTTTTGCCATAATGTAAGTTTTTAGATTTTTACTAGTTTAAGTACCTGAAAAGTTAAAAACTGTTGTTGTTTTTTTTAACTCCTGTAACAATTTGTTGGATATTATAAAAAGATGTCAGTATTAAAAAAATGTTTTTAGATGAGAAAAAACTAAAACGTAAAGTAAAGAGGTTGGGAGCTTCCTGAAAACTAAAACCGCTGTATTGATTTTTAGGTGAAGAACTCCTTAAACAACCTTGAAACAATACAATTTTTTTTAATTGCCTAAGTTTTATGTAGTATATTTACAATTCTAGTCTGATCAGCTGGTAATAAAGTAGCTGTTATGACTCATTTGAGCAAATAAATCAATCTTCATCAGTGAAGATCCAACTTTTATTTCATAGAAAGATTTCAGATTGTTATAATTTTTACATTATAAATTATTTTAATTTCCTATGATTTGTGTAAAATGATAATCTGCACAAATATAAATAAATCAGATCAAGTTTTTTTTTGTACGATTGCAATATCTGTTGGAGGAAAAAAATATATATATTTGTCAGATGAAAACTAAAAGTAATTTAGTGTAAAATCAAAATGTTCGGTACTTTTCTAATCGTCACCGGATTTGCATCTTATTGTGAAAGGGGCGTGTTCTTCCTGTGAGATACCGGAAGTGTCTTATCCCATATCGAAACATTTTGAAAGCGGAGTCGAGCGGTTCTGTCCATTAAGACACTGAAAGAGACTGAAAATTTAAGGTAAAGTTTTATTGTACGGACATATTTTCATTCTTGATGAAAATAATAAATGTTATTCAACGTACAGTGTTTTTCTTTGTCGTGTTTATGTTTTAGCAGCTAACTTCATGTCAGCATGTTTGCTAACTGAGCTGTTCTTGAGTCCTGAGTGAAACCGGTGTGCCAAATTAGATGTACCCGAAATCATCTGTTTCCCCACCAGAGGCACGACACCGGTTCCGCTCGTTTCAGTAGCTTTTCTGTTCGAAATGAACCTTTGTTGTGTGAATTGGCAGCGCGGCGGCTCAGTGGTTAGCACTGTTGTCACAGCAAGAAGGTCCTGAGTCCAATCCAGTGTTGCCAGATATAGTCCTTTTCCAGCCCAAAAATCTGTTAAAAAAACCGCCCCATCACACAAAAACTCGCCCCATAAATATATAGTCATATTTACTGTTTCATCACACCCAATACCCCCCACCCCCTGTAAAGATATTGGTGTTTATTTGTCCATCAATGTGATTACTCAAAATCAGTTCTGTTACATTTCAGGATATAGTTAGACACAGAGTAAATGTTCAATATGAACATTTCTATATTTATCATCACCACAGTAATAGCATTACACACATTAGTAGTTGTAAACACTCAAAAGAATACATATGTTGGTTTAGTGCTTTAACCTCAATATTTTAGGAGTAAACATTTTTGGTAATCACTTTAAAAGTTACAAATGTTGTCCTTGGTGCCTGTTTGTTTTCCACATATATTAGTGCGTGAGAAGGACAGGCATTAACATAAAACACTTTGTAGAACGGTGCTTTATAAAGTTCAGTGCATTTCCTTTGTTAGTTGACAGGCAGTTCTGCCACATCCAATATGGCGGCCGCTCCGACACTGCCCACTCAACGAGGTGTCCACTAAAACCTCCTCACCAGTTCTTTGTTGTGAACGCCCTGGCAGATGACAAGAGCTAATCAATGATGGAGAAAGGTCAGGGGAGCTTTGAACCAATAATGATGAATGATTGTTTGAAATGTAGGTTAACTCAAAAACTGTCGATCTGACTCCAAATCCGCTCAAATTATTCCCACCCGCCCAAAAGCAATTGTTACCCACAAAATCAGAATGAAAACTGCCCAAGTGGCGGTAAACCACCCAATCTGGCAACACTGGTTCAATCCCCGGTTGGACCTGGGGTCTTTCTGTGTGGAGTTTGCATGTTTTTCTCGTGCTCGCGTGTGTTTTCTCCGGGTACTCCAGTTTCCTCCTACAGATCAAACACATGCATGTCGGGCTGCCTTCAGGCCCAGGCCTCCCTTGTAAAAGAGATCTGTGATCTCAATGGGATTTGCCTGGTTAAATAAAGGTTACTGAATAAAATAATAAATAACTAAAAGACTGGTTCCGGTTGTATTTTGGGTCAAACTGTGACATATTCAGTTAGCTAACTGGTTTGTCTTTGTTCAGGCAAGCTGCTCTTCATCATCATCGTCATGTTGCTTGGGGTCTGGATCAGAACGTATTGATCCGTTTTCAGGACCGAGTGTTGGTGTTGGAGGAGGACATGGCTGACAGAACCACTGCCAGTCCCTGTTCGTCAGCACCGAGCAGTCCCACCGGTCTGAACCAGGGAATCCTGCTTGAACCTGAAGACTACCTCTACCAGGACCTGACTAGGCTCGTCCCAGAAACCCCCAGGTAGTTGAAGTCTCAGACACACACCTGTGGGCAGGTAGAGGCGTCTCAGTCCCGCACGTCCAATAAAGGTCAATCGAGTCAAAATAGACAATTTATTAGTGGATCATGTGACACTTAACATCAAAATCCAATTCATAACTGACGTTGTTTTTATTCTGGACTCATCCGGGTCGGTCAGAATCATCTGGTACCAGCTGTCAAATCCATCAGAAATAAAACAGAAATCTAAAAATCCATCCAAACCTTTGATCTAAGATGTTTTAGAAGATCTTATTTATTGTTCTAGAAATAAAAATGAATAAATAATTACTGTAAATAGTTTCTTAAATCAATATAAAATTACCACTGGATATTTTAAAATTTGTTTACAAAATAACCAAAAAAATGTGTATAAATATATTTTATAGAAAGTGGTTTGTTTTTAAGTAAACTTAAAATTTTCATTAAATTCCCTAAATTGTATAAAAATTGTTTTTATTTGTTCATATTTTTTGTATTCAGTCAGTCTGGTTGGGATCAGTTGTTTGTTGTCTGAAGCATTTGGACTTTTTGTGTCTTGACAAAATGTTTGTTTGTTTGTTTGTTTGTTTTTCAGCCCACAGCTCGGGAAGCGGAGGAGACGGTGCTGCCGCACCCCTCAGGAGCGTCGCAGCTCCGTGAGTCACAGTTGTTGTTTCTGACTCCCTCTCAGCTGGTCGGCGCTCGGTTCCGGACTCATTGTGTGTTTCTGGACCCTCAGGTGGCGCTGAGGGACCCTACAGAACCGCACCGACCCACCAGCAGTGGACGAAGCTTTTCACAGAAGTCCAAACACAGGCGGCTGGTGGAGCAGAACCCCGGCTTCGTTCCCGCCTCCTCTCTGAAAACTTTTCCGTTGGGGAGCTGGCTGGAAGCCCCCTCCTCATCCTCATCTTCCTCGTCATCAACCTCCTACCTCACTCCGGAGTCGGTCCTCCGGTCGAAGCAGACCCGTACGGCAGCCTCGCCCGCCGCGGCGTCCAGCCCCGACTCTCTGACCTTCCTGACCGACGAGGAGAGAAGATGGCTGAACGGAGAACAGGAGGACTTCTCGCCAGGTCAGGAATCACTTCCTGTTCAGACTCTGTTCTGACCCGGCTGCACATAGCTGGTTTCTGATTGGTTGTTTGTGCCGCAGCGGTGGTGGAGCAGATCATAATCAGCGACGACGAAGAGGCGGCAGTTTGCTCGCTGCAGATGGAGGAAGACGAAGCTCTGGCTCGAAGCCTGCAGGTCGGAGCTTCATCCTGCAGCTTCAGACGCCTCACCTGGGCAGGTGGAATCAACTTCCTGTTTCTGTTTGTGTCTGCAGGCTCAGTTTGACCGGGAGGAGTCACTCAGCAGACATCTTCATCATCCTCATCATCATCATCGGAGCCAGCACACGGTGAGACGAGCAGCTGAAATATAAATAACAAAGGTTTTTATTTTACATGAAATACATACCGGTATTCATGAACATGTGTATTTTCTAAGAAAAACCTTTTAAACTTTCAAGTATAAATATTTCAATAAAGAAATACTAGTGTTCTAGTACTCGAACGGTCTTGGTCTTGAGACCGGTCTCGAGACCACTTTTTTGATGGTCTTGGTCTCGTCTCGGACTCGACCGCATTTGGTCTCGAACATTGAGGACTCGGGATTTTATTTCAAGACCGGTCAAGACCACAACTGTGGAAATATCAGTAAACTGCCAGAATATTTTCCAGTCTATTTGTCAACATCTTTGTTTTTATTGGATGTAAAACGTACTGGTTCGAATCCAAACGACAACGTGACTCGTTGCTAACTTCATGTTTTTGTTACCGATGTCACGCCCACCCCCTTTCACTCACACGGTTCTGTACCAACAGAACAATACGGACAACAGAACGTAACGTCACAACCAGGGGTGAAAGTAAGCCGGTCCGGTCCGGTACTGTGTACCACTAAAAAGTTCTGCGCCAGTACGCAGTACCTGGAAGAGAGGGGCTGTCTGCTGTAAAGCCTCATTCAGAACCAGTCATGGCTGCACTTTGGGTCAGAATAGATTCTTTAGCAGTAATCAGTCTAAAACACGACTTCATCAGTTAATAAATATCTTTTATTTCTCATTTCAAATTGTTTCTGAACTGTTCGTGCTGGAGCCTCGACTCTCCACCGCGGTGAAGTTAGTTGTACGTTGGATGTTGGACATTCGAGCTCCGTGTCTTCAGCGGTGTGTTCCTCTCGTTCGATCCGAAGCAGGCAGTCTGATGTCGGTCATCTGAGCTCAGTCTGCTCCTCCTCCGAGACGTAATGATTCACTTGGGGACCGTCAACAAAATTACCGAACCAAACACTCTTCAGAAACAGAAATTAATATGTTTTACATCATTTGACCCACTGACACAAAACTAACGTTAAACTGCTCTAATAGACCTGACACACAAGAAACCATCATTTATTTCTCATTTTTAAGAATTCCTAATTAGTTATTGAGCGAAAACCATGATTTTTAAACAAATAAATTATGTAAAATAAAAAAATGCCTTAAAATGAGAAATAAATGAAGGTGCCTCGTCTGTCAGGTCGAGTAGAGTTTAACATAAGTTTTGTGTCAGTGAGTCACATGACATGAACGTTATTGTGCAAAAACCACTGAATGTCTGATTTCTTTATGCGGCTTTGACAATGTATAAAAGCTGACGCATTCATTCAAAAGCAAACTTAAAGTTGCAGTATGTCACTTAAAAATATACATATTTTTATAAAAGTTACATGTGTTTTTTACATATTTGTTAAAACTCATTTTGTCATGACAGTATAAGACATAATCTGTGAAAAGTTTGAGCTCCAAGACTTGAGGTCTTGGTCTTGACTCGGTCTCGGTACACTCTGGTCTTGGTCTTGA